TTTTATCTCTACAAGCTGGACTGGAGAGATGACTTTTAAATGGTGTCAGTCTGACCCAGGAAAATTACAATGTCAACAGCAAATGTTCTGCAGGTCTGTCAAGGTTAATCTAATTTTATCCTATTTACTCATGTCATTATTTGGCTTGTGATAAATAGGGTTGTACTTTAAAAAATAATCCGAAAGTTTTCCTATTATCGTTTCCTACGCATGGAAATTACTCTCCTTGTCTCTTCATTCCCATTTTCACAGAATCACAGACTAGCTGGGGTTGGGAGGCACCTCTGGAGGTCATCTGGTCCAACCCCCTGCTCAAGCAGGGTCACCTAGTGCTGATTGCCCAGCACTCTGGCCAACTGGGTTTTAAATATCTCCAGGATGGGGGATTTCACAACTGGGTATCACTGGGAAGAGCTTGGCATGGTCTTTACATCTTCTACATCTTTCCAACTTGTTACATGCCCCGGCAGGTATTGTCCAGAAGCTTGTGGAATGCTGTTGATAGCAAGATCAGATATTTTTCAGATTTTTTGGTCTTTTTCCTCTTAATTTTCTTACATGGGTTTGCAGCCCAAAAGAGGGTTCCTTGCAAGGCATGGCTGATAATAATGGTGTAAGGAGATGTGGGAGGATCCTCCACTGCTACTTCTACCACTATTGAAAACTAGAAACTGAACATTATTACTGCTTGGTTTTCCCGCATGCACCAAGCAGATGTATGAATTAAATGGCATTTTTGTGATATCCTAACATTCCAGGACACAATACATGTAGATGATAATAGATGTGCTAAGTTACTAAAGCTTTCTTATTCAAGGATACATGAGCTTCTTTTTGAGGTATTATTTATTAACCATGATTTTTACATTTTCTGTTACTTGTAGTTCTTTTAGTTACTCATTCTGAATTTTTAGCTTCTTATTTATCTCTCAAGAAAGCATACAAGGAATTTAATTTTGGCCAAACACACTTTGCTTACCATGTTTGGGCATCATTTTCTGCATGTAGAACAAGAACATGATTTCCTCACTCTACGTGGATGTATAGTAGAGGTGCACTTACAAGTGTGTGTGGCAGTAGCCCCTATTGAAATAAAATTATTTTTGATGCTTTTACTACGCATTTTATTAAAACCTGTAATTTTCAGAAACCTAGGTAAGGGCACATCAAATCATATCTCCTGGCACATTAGTTTTCTCTTACATGTCCTAGTAGTTGCAGTGAGGGCATTCATTCTCCTTGAACAATTCAGACCTCTGAGTTTGGGAAGGAAGTAGTGTTAGATAAACTTAACCTGCCATTTCACAGCTCTTTGTCTCTGTGTGTGTGTGTACGCACATGCATGTTAGGGGATTGTGCTCCCTGCAGGGGCTGGAGTTAACCTTAAGTTTGGCACCATGATAAAATGTTAACATGATCTAATATGATCTCTGGAGATTGTTTATTTTCTTAGCTTTGAGGAGTTGTGCACGCTATGTGATGCCTTGTCAGGGAGGATAACCCGAAGTAATGGAATTGTATGGTGTGCAGCACAGAACCGTCTCAGTCTCTGGTACAGAGAAAGGAATGTTTCAGTGGCCACCAAAGAAGTGCATAAGGGTTCTTTTGGTTTTGGTTTTAATTCAACAGCTAAACCTTGGTATCAAAATGCCCAAGGTACTTTTCTGGATCGCATTACTTTTCATAGCTAACAACTCATTGCAAGCTTTTATTGGTAGTCTGGAAAAAATGTTTTTTTTTTAATTGATTTCCATATATTTTTTATGTGTACCAAGTACTTTAAATTATAGGTGTTATTAAAATTAGTGCAGAATAATTTACCAGATTCTAGAGAAACCATGCAATTCACAGAGGGGATCATCTTCTTGCTCATGATATAAAACACTGAGTCACAGCTTTCCGTATTTTAACTCAAAATAACTGTATACTCTATTGCTATTTTCAGAAGTTGTTGATACTATATTTCTCCAATAAGAAACAATTTTTTTTTTTTTTAATCAGAAGATTTCTTTGCGTATGACAAAAGCATTTGTTGAGTAATGTTGGTTAGATTTACCTGTGGGATGTGGAACATAATGTTTTTCTTTTGGAATGTTACTTAGCTATCCTGAGAAGGTGAAACATGCAGTTAGAAAAATAGGTACTTAGTACACAGGGGAAAAAGATACAGCAGGGACCTTTAGTGGATGGTTTACCATACTTAATTGCCTACTAGTTTTGTGTTGTGTAGTGAAATAACAACCTCGTGGTCTATGTACAAGAGCAATTATTGTCTGAGATGCTGAAAATAGACGAGTTAATCAATTTACCACTTGTAGTTCTAGCATTAAGGTAGGTATTTTCCAGGACCTGCTTTTATAATGGCCTTTCTCTATCCTAACGTTTTGTACTATTATTATGTCTTGAGGTAAAGTGTAGTTTGTGAAATAGCAAAATGTAGAGAAGAGCTCTGTGTCCTCCAGCGAAATGTTGAGAAACTGAATCAACTTTTTATTTCCTGATTTCCATTCTGGCCAGATTTTCATGTGCTCTAGGGCCTAATATCATTGCTTCTGTCTGCTACTTATTACTGTGGGATACAATAATTTTCCCCTAAGTGTGAGCAGAGTATGGGTCTGCTTAGCTTTCTTGCAGTAAATACATATTTCCAATTCTGCATTGAATTTTATAGCTGCATTGGAAAGGGACAATATAAAATAGTTTCCTGCAATAATCTTTCAAGGTCCAAATCTTGTAATCTGTCCTATCCTTCTTTTCATAGAAATATTTCCCTACCCACCTGTCTCCACTTTTTCCCCAGAGAAGAAAAAGAGTGTTATTAAAGAGAAGGCGGACCTTTTCTGTTTATTACTACCAGAACATCCCCTTGTGTGCTTCTTGAACTTAATCGTCAATGCTGACTGGTTCAAGTTTGTTTTTCTTGCACCTTGGACAATAGAAGAGTGTATTATACCCAGGAGTTCGGAGTCATTTAGAATCCAATTTTCAAGAACAATAAACAAATTAAGAGGTTGGTCTGTTGCTCACATTCTTCAAAACCTCAACGAGCATAATGAAAATTGACTCTCCATAATGGCAGCCACCAGTAGACTTACTGCTGTCCTTGGGATGTATGCAAGGTGATAGACCTGAAGTCTCTTGGTTACAGCAGGCTCTTTATTTCAGGTGCATTGAACTCCCAGTGTCTGCTGCGCCATGACCATTAGCATAAGCCAGTCAGGTGCAGCAAGGGCAGGGAAATATGAAATTATCACAGTCCCACTGAGAGGTGTTCTCCGCTCTGCCAATTAGCAACAGTCTGCAGGGACTCTCAGAGAGGCTATGCTGGAAATGGCTTTTGGTTGCACACAGTGTTTACAACTATGAACTAATAGGGATCTTTGTATTGACTATTGATTACCAGGGAGAAGGGCTTTTCTGTGAAAACGTAATACATTCCTTCCTGTTTGCTAGAACAGCATTGACCAGATCTCCTGTTGCAGGCAACAAACTTTCCATGCTCAAACCATTGCACATGCTAGTTTCAGTACTGCATCTTGTGCCCATGAACAAGAGGGTAATGTCGAGCCTACATGTGAAAATTTGATTTGAGGTTGATGTGCGTATATGACATTTTTAACATCTGGATTTTCCAGTGATGCACAAGTATCTGTTGTTTGAGACTTTGGAGTCCTGTTTTTCTTTTAAACTGGTCTCGACAAACTTGGGACGTTTTCATGCTGTTCTTTCATATCTCATTCACGCCTTGAACACATCCTGAATGTTATGAGCGGTGCAGAGTCAACTGAGTGCTAATTTCTCATTTCTCAGCTTAAACAGACTTTGCCATCTTCCAGGTGCCTTTGTAGGATCAGCACTGATCTGGATTGTCTTTTTTGGCAGCCTGAGAGTGCTCACCAACATAAGTGTAGCAGTAGCTGAATACTGGGACTGATAACCCCCCAATTTAATGCCTTCAAAGTGTTCTGTTTCATTCCCAATGGTCAAGCAATGCATTTATCCTTGTCTTATCAAATGAAGCATGATTTAGCCAACACTCCAATTACATCGATCTGATAAAATAATCTTATTTGCAGCTGGCTGAGGGTATAAGGATGAATAAACATAGAAAATACTATTTAATAACTACTAGGGTGTGGGAATAGTACAGTTGCTTCAAAATCCTTGTCTAATACTTACTTGTAGTTATATGCAAAATGAAGCATAACAATCCCTAATAAGAGTAAAAATATTTGCAGTAAACTTTTACATCCCACTTTTGCTCGAAATTGCAGAATTGGTTTCAAATTTTTCAATGTAAAACTAAAAAATAGTAAAAACAGAAGCAAAAAACCTTTTGAAAAAGTAATTCAATTGTTCTGTGCAATTTTACAAGTTGTTTCACCTGTTTAATTTTTTCCTATTTTGCAGTGTATTTGAATAGTTACTATAGTTTGAGGTTTTGTAATAAGTTTTTATTTTTTGGTTAATAAAGATATTTCATGCTTTTTGCCAGAAAATTGATTAGAACTCATTTTTACATACTCTAGTAGAAGGAAAATTAAACTTATGATAAACTCACATTTGAACTTCTAAAAGTTGTTAAGTTTTCCCTTTTGAGAAACTGGGGTCAGATACTGCATTTTTATGTTAGCCAAAACTTCAGTAAAAACAGTGCCATATTTTTCTTGAGATCTAATTGATTTAGAACTGCAGGGTGTGACTGTTTGGAAGGAAAAATAAGTAAGTGTTGCTATTTCACTGGGTACAAAGAGTAAAGAAAGCCCATTTTGTATGAAAGTTGCCAAGGGAAATCTGAAGCTCATGAAAATTTCTCAGGTTTCAATATTTTTTTTCCTTTTTTTCTAGACTGCAGACATCTCAAACCATTTACAAGAGATGTGGCAGACAAAAACTGCTCAGTTTACAAGCACCCCCCAAAAGATGGAAAGCAAAAATATATTCCTAGGCTAGCTTAGGAAAAGATGAACTAAAATTCTTTCTTTTCCCCTTATGTTTAGGCAGTCTGGGAGAAGGATGTTAACCACTGGTCCCTGATTTCTGATCACTTCTATTGAAGGAAAATCCCCATTTCAGAGAGAGTGCAAGACTGTGGGAAATTAGAGGATACCACATCCCATCTTTAAAAAAGGTAAGGAAATGTTTTTCTGCTGATCCTGTAACACTATAAGTGGTGTCTTCTTTTAACAACTCATTAAGTTGAAGGAAGAAAGGAAAATTTAGATAATAGTTGATACTAAATTTCTTATTTTGACCTGCATGTTCTAAGTTATAAATCAAAAAAAACCTTTTTCATATTAAACGAAAAATATAATGCATGTGTTCGTGCACTTAAAACTAATTTCTGTGTAGCTTTTGTGTACATTTTGACACAAAAAAGAAAATAAGTACTGCACACAGTAACGTTAAATATTTTCTTTAATTTCAACTGCTGCTGTTATTCTTAGCCAGGCAGAGATTTATGTAGTCTCCACTCTACCAAGCAACAATCATTTTGCCAAGACAGATAACGGCATGCAGAATGCAGCCACTGGGAATTAGTACTAAGTAATAGTCCATCATTTAGTCTTTTATCAGAACAGATCTGCACTGTCTTACTTTCTACCAGGTTTTGGATTGATTGCTTATTTGCAAAATATTTACGACTCTACTTTCTTGCATGCTCCAGTTACGAAAAGTATTGCAAAAAGCAGAAAGCAGTTAAAACGTACTGTGCTGTGAATGTTTCCTTTGAAAGCAGAATGACAGCAGCAGCAGTTTTCCAATTCAGATTTTCTTTTTTTTTAATTTCCTTTTTTTTTTTTTGGGGGGGGGGGGGTTGAGGGAGAGGATGGGAGAGTAAGGGGAAGGGCCTGGGAAGAATATTGGAATTGCAAATGATAGGTAATAGTTTCTTTCTAAAGCAGCCATTCTTGAATGTGTTCCTAGGGCAAACATGTTGCTCGGTGACTTCATCTACACTTACACTGCATTTCTATAAAACTAGTTTCAGTTGCACAAAACAGTATGGTTCTGTTATTCAAACTTATTTATGTGGTTTAGAGAATCTATCCTGTCTAACCAACATTACCCTGTAAATTAATAAAAGCTGTTCGTTAACTAGAAGTCTTGCCTTACTTGTGACTGTTTTCATAGGATGGTTTGTGTTGTAAGGGACCTTAAAGATCACCTAGTTCTAACCCTCCTGCTTCCCAAAATGTACATTTGTCTGGTGTGTTATGTGGCAAGAGAATGAATGATAAGCAGATATCATTGACAACTCCTCTGAAATTATCATCTGGAATACATTGGCTTGTTGTTAAGAAAAAAAGGTTCTGTTTTCTTGAGATGGTCATAGTCATGGGGCCATTTTTGTGTCGTAAAAACCTACTTCACCTCAGCAGATGGTACACAGGTGTTTTTGAAATACCAGTTTGTAAGACATTGTTTGTTTCTCTATTATGGGTAGAATATGGTCTTATTTTTTCAAAGAAGAAAGATAGAGAGTGTGCAATGGAAAGTACTCTGTGAATGTGGCATGCTTCTTACTTGCTCTTTTTAACTTCATATTTCCATGGCATTTGTAAGGATTACAGATTCTGAGATATCTTCTGTTTCCTTTTAATAGACTTCATTTTTTGCATACAATTTGGCAGTTTTCAAATAACACATTTTATACTTTGCCAAGTAAAATACAATACCTGTTGGCTTATAATACAAATATTCAAAGAGCATGTCTATGAGTGTGGTCAGTTGCAACATCATCTCCAGATTGTCTAATACAAATTTCATAAATAAAGTATGCAAGACATACATTTCTGTACAGAATTTGCACATAATTTTTCTTCCAAGAGAATTAAAGCTAGGTTTTCTTTCTGACAGCGTACCCAGTGTTCTTTTGTAACCCACCCCCGTATCCTGTTGTTAAAATACTCTGGTTTTTACAGCAGATAATAGTACTAAAACTTTAATAGGAAATAATTCGTACCAGGAGTAGAGGTTTTGCTTTATCCGTAAGATTCTCCTTGTCATAAATAATTTTAGAATATTTTCTTCTTCTTCTTTTCATTTATTCTGTTTACCCAATTCTGATTTCTTTCTTACAATAACTGATGATTATGGATACATTTAATTGTATCAGTAACTTTAGTGGAAGCACAAACAAGGAATTTGTGAAATAAGTCACTGTGTAATAATTAGCTGTGCAAATACTCTATTTCCTGATTTTAATGAAGAAGAGGCCCTGCCAAGAAGATACAGTTGAATTAGTCAACATAATGTTGTAACATTTGTTCATGGTTAATTTTCTAGATTTCTAAACTTTTTTTTATGCTACACTTGTAATGAATTTTCCTGATAATTATAATGTCTCAATGTGAAAAGTACCTTGATTTGTGAACTCTCTACATATTTATTAACGTGAACAAACTGGTTGTCTCCTCAAATTTGCTATCACAAAACCAGCCAGGAAGTCTTTCACTGTAAAAAGACTCTGATTTCATGCTCTTCTGCAACTCAGCCTTAGCTTGCTTTCGTACAGAGCAATGTCATGTCCTCATGCTGGCCCAGTGCAGGGGTGACTTCACACACCAGAGAAAGCTGCTCATGGTGGTTTGCCCCCTCCCCAGTACCTGTGGCTGTGCAGGGCTGGGACCTGAGGTGGTGAGCTGTAGAACTCAGCTGGGTAGCACCATGCTCGCACCATGTGAAAAACTCTTTTAAAACACTCATCTGTGCTTACTAGAGCTATGTCTGCCCACTGCATGGTCCTCCCCAGCCTGTGTCCTGTTTAGAAGGAACCAACTTCCTTGTCTCCTCCATGACCAAAGAAGAACAACCAAAAAGATGACCTGAGAATTGCAACAATCTGAAATGATGTTTACACTTCCATGGAAAGAAAGCATTTTCTGATTCGCAGTTAAGTAATTAGTTCAGAATATCACACCATCTGCAGAACCGGACAGAACATTGCAGCAGGAAACTTGGGTGGTTAAATCCATCTGCTAATTGTTGTGGGGCAATAATTACAATAAAAAATCAAAAAGATTTAGTCAAATATTTTTATGATGTGAAAACTATGCTGTAAATTTCAGATACTTGTTTCTTCTATCATCCAGAAAATCTCCCGGTTTTGTGTATTTCTGCCTGTGACCAACATTGGAGGCTACCAGTTTCTGAGTCTAGGTGTTTACTCATTCTCGTTCTAAGAGTTGTGAGATTCATGCCTACTGTTTATCAGGTTGGAGACCTGTAAGCTTCTGGAAGTTGAGAGGGTTGGGTTTTTTTTTAATTATTACTGTCAGGGAAGTATGAAGGCAGTAGGTAGATCTGTTACAATGAGGTAGCTACACCTGACAGTTTTGGGATCTCCAAGAAAGCCTAGAGAGGGTGAAGCTCCTCCACAGAAATTTCTTCTGAAAGACAACAATGTCATGCTGAAGAACAGTTATTCTTGATCAACTTCCTTTGAAATAATGGTATGACAAATACAAGTAAAACAACAAATGAACAAAACAAGTTGTCATGTCACATTTTTCATGTTCCTTAAGCCTCTCAATATCTAACTTAGCTAGTTAACTTTTGCATCTGCTCTGTTTCCCCAGGAAGCTGCCCAGGATGCAAAAGCTTGTCTTGATAATTTTGCAAGAATAGTTTTTTCTGCTTTTACTTCCCTCGGGCAAGATGGATGGTATATCTATGTTAAAATCAGAGCAGTATTTATACTACAGTATTTATACTTTATATTCAGCCTCTAGATGCCTCTATGTTGTTGAAACTTTGTATGTAATATAAAGTAAGAGTTTTGGTAAAAGGAATATAAGAGCTTCTAAGGCAGAGCTAATTTTTGTGGAATTATTAGATTGCAGTAGTGTTGCTTAGCTCTAATTAAATCTTTTTCTTTATTTTAATTACCAAGTTATAATTGGAATTAAAATTTTTATTTCTAGTTAGATTCAGTAGTTCCAAGCAGGATTTCCATGCTCACCAGGAGTATTTTGGAGCAATTTGTATTTCAAAACAGGGCTCAGACTGTGAAGCTTGAGTGGTTTTTTTCAACATGTTCAATATTTCTTGTTTCAAGTAAATTTTTTCACACGGCCAGAAGTCTTGTTTGCAAAATTTAGATTCATTTCTGTTTGGAGTTTTATTTTTGTGGTCCTACCAATGTCAGGAGCTTATGCTATTTACCTAGCTTTAGTTAGGCTGTGGGCTGCGTTCTTTTGATTTCTTCTGTGCTGAATTCTGAGAGAATATCAGTGTATAGCAACATTATCTGAGGTCAAAAGGTGATTTATGCTTCCTCTAGTACTTTTAGAACTGGGTCAATTAAAGGATTCCCAGAAATTACTTTTTTGTATGGCTGCCCCTTCACTAGAGTTTTAAAAGTTCAAATTATGATCTTAAGAGTACTCAGGAATTCAGGTTTGTAGGTTTGGGACAGGCAAAAACCTAACACAAATCCTGATTTGACTTTGCTAAAGTGTTATTTGTGTTTGTGATGTCCAGCATCCAGCAGTGGCTAAATATTTTTATAAGCCCTAATTCAGGAAAAGAGAATCACATACTTAATTGAAATATAATTTAGTGCTTCCTTGAGCTGGAAGCTCACTGGGCGTTAGTGGCTAACTAGGAAGGAGGGCAGTAAAGCTCTTCAGAGAATTCTAAAAGGAAAAGACACCTATGTAGGTATAAGAGCTTAATACAGCACGTTAAATTCAGTACAGGCGATAGACTGACTACCTTGTCTGTATTCAAAGATTTAAAACTCGCAGTGGCCTTCCTCCCCTCCATCTGAATGAATCTCTCAGCTGAAATGCAGTTCAGAGACTTACACAGCCTTTAAAAGCTTCACGTGCTACTGTTATTTTTACTTCACATTGCACTGCACTCTTTGAACTTGTTGGAGGTGTGCAACTGGCAGTAGGCAGAGGTGTCTTCAAGATGAGGTCTTTCTTCAGCTCCATCATCTTTATCATTAAGTAGAAAAGGGAGCTGAACTACCCTGCTCTGATTGGATAATGTTTCCCACTGCAGGGTCCTGCTGAGGTTGCTAATTTTTCTTGATATAACTCAGGATAAAAAAATGTCATATAGTGCTGGTTTATATCTTGCTCTTTTTCCATATTGCATATGTTGTTGT